GGAAGAAGCTTAAAGAAGTCTTTTCTCCTTCTTTAATAATCGTTTATTATGGTGTCAGTGAAGGGTTACACAGCTGGATAGGTTCCCATTCAACAGTCTCTACCCAAGTTGTTCAGTCCCATTGGTTACCTTCTTCACAATGTGTGAATGTGCTCATTGTTTCCACCCGGTTCCACTTCCTGTAATCTGATTTTACTGCCCACTTACATTCTCATCTTTGTTTAAAGTACTTGTTCACCGTTTGGTCTCACACAGGGGATTTTTCAAAGGAGCACAGTATTTACGGTGATTGTAATTGGTTTTGAGCCAATATTTTATTTAGGTACCATATGCTCTCATGGGTTAGTTTCAGCTCCAGGTTTGAAGACTGTCTCAGGGCAACTGTCTCAGGGCTGCCATCTCAGGGAATCCTTCAGTCTCAACCACTCAGATGAGTCTGGTCTTATTTTTATTTCTGTTTTGTTTTTAGTAAGTTCATGTTCTTTTCCACATTTTCTCCCATTCTATCAGGGACCATTTATCCTGTCCCTGACTAGAATTTTCACGCACTGCCTAGGCTGTGTGAAAGAAATCTGAGAGTAGAATGTTTTTGTTTATCAGTAAGTCTTATAGCTCATTACTATCACCCAAAAATAAGCCTGGAGTCTCTACAGGTGGGAAAAAAATGCTCTTGACAGAACTGATGAATGAACCTTTATTATAGGTGCCATGCTCTGGTGGCGTAGTCCCTAAGGCATTTGACTGTGAATGAGAAAGTTGGCAGTTCAAACCCACCAGCCACTCCATGGAAGGAAGACTGGGCAATCTATTTCCATAAAGATTTACGGCTCTGGAATCCCAAAGGGGGTCGCTATGAGTTGGATTGACTCAATGATAGTGAGTTTGTTTGGTTTTGGTTTGTTAGGTTGAAAACTGGATAACGAAACTAAGACATGATGTTATCGTTACTTGCCATCAAGTCAATTCTGAATTCATGGCAACTCCATGTGTTACAGGGTAGAACTTGCTTCATAGGATTTTCTTGGCTTTCATCTAATGGAAAATCTAACATATCTAAAGTTCCTGTATTGAAGGTACTGATGGGTGGTTTTCACTATGAAACTTTAGGTTACAGTCAAGCATGTTGTTGTTAGGTGCCATCAAGTTGGCTCTGCCTCATAGCGACCCTATGTACAATAGAACAAATCACTGCCTGGTCCCACTGCTCTTTTGTATCTCCTCAATTCGATGCTTAGAGAAGTTAAAGAGAAACTATCTTTGCAAGAGGTGATTTTTCATCACTGTTTTATTAACTAGGAGCTCTGGTGGTGCCTTAGCATTTGACTGCTAACCAGAAGCCTGGTGGTTCAAACCCCCTAACCACTCCTCGGAAGGAAGGTTGGGC